GGGGTGGGCAGCAGGAAGACGATTTCGGGGGTGGGCAGCAGGAAGACAATTTTGAGGTGGGCATTAGGAAGACGATTTCAGGGGTGGGCAGTAGGAAGATGATTTTGTAACACAAGCCTGTGATAATCTCAGTGATGAAGAAGCGAGCCCAAACGCCTGGCCTCAGGTTTCCCCTAACTCAATCATCACACTCCCTTGGAATGTGTTTTCTCTGACCCATTTTCCCCCCTAGAATTAGTGTATTCCTTCCCGTTCTCTTCTCTCCCAAGATCCTTCCCTCTTCCTCCAACTAGGAGTCCTTCTCGTCACTCCCACTATAACCACCGAGGCAAGTAGCAGCGCTAGGGGTGGTTTCGTGCTCCCCCTTCCTTCTGTTTCCCCAGAGGAAGCCATTGCCTAGCACCCCCTCTGTGACCTAACAGTTGAGGTTCCCAGGGCTCTGACATCATCCTGGGGCTTCTACCTGGCCCCAACCCCTGCTGCTGCCCGGCCCAGAGGCAGCTGATGTGGGGCTATGCAATTCTGGGGATGGTGGTGGGGCTGTCAGAACAATGGAAGAGCCAGGAACGGGTAAGGGAGCCCCAGGGCCAGAGTCAAAGGGGGGACTGACAGGAGCGGGACAGGAAGCAGAAGCGGTCAGATTTCCTCGGCCTCTTGGATTACCCAGGAAATTTGATTATTTCCCCAGATCTCTTCCCCTTTCATCCCACACAGAGGAGGGGAATTTCCAAACCCAGTTCCTCAAAACTCAACAAGCTCCTTTTACACACAGGCACACTCTTCATTCACTCATTCACTCCCTCACCAAACCCATACTAAGCGCCTTCTGTGTGCAGAATCTGTTCAGTCTGTGACTCTCCTGCCCCCCTGGTTTTATTTCCTCCCCCCAAATGCTTCAGATCTACAGGATTTAAATAATCACCTCCCCACCTAGCTCAACTTTCTCTGCTTTTCTATCCTTCCTTTTCACTTATCATAGTTCAACTCAACGCACATTAAGCACCTGCTGTATATCTCACCTCCATTCCCCCTGACTCCAGGTCCTCCTGTACTCCCCCCCACCCCCCATTCTGGCTCTTTCTCACCTGCCCCGTCTTTTGGGGCTAGGAGAGGGCACAAGGTAAAGACGGGGAGGGTGGGAGGAGGTGGCTGAGCAAGGAGGGACAGACACAGAGGGAGAGCCCAGAAGGAGCTCCTGGGGCTCTTGGGGACTTTTGGATTTGGGGAATTTGCGGCTTCCAAAAGATGGTCACATTTAGAGCTGGGAGGAAGCCTTGTCTGCGGACCATGCCTTCGAACTCAGCCTCTCTCTGGAAGCAGCCCAGGCCTCAGAATGGCAGAGGGCTTGCCTAAGGTCCACGAGGCAGGTTAGGTGCTTGGATGCTGGGGCGGGGGGCCTGTTATTCCCCCCCCCCCACACACCTTTAAACTGATGAAGAAGCTGAGAAGTTAAGTGACTTGTCCAGGCTCATACTGCCGGGTGGGCGTCTGAGGGAGGATTTGAACTCAGGTCTCCCTGACTCCAAGTCCACTCAGCCTGGTTGCCTTTATTGTTTTCTCGTGTTACAGATGTGTAGCAGGGAAGTGACTTACCCACAGTCACAGGAGGGCAGTGGGGCATCAAGAGGCAGTGCAAAGAGGGCTGAGGGTCTAGGTGTGACCTTGGTCAAGTCTCCTCTCTCTAGGCTTTAGGTTCCAAATCGGTCGACAGGGGAAGCACAGTGGCAGGGCAAAATTCGGTGAATTGGGAGCCTCAGTTTCCCTAACTGTAAACCGAGGGGGTTGGGCCGGACGGCCAGAGCTCCCTCTAGCGGGACCTCAGTTTCCCTAAATGTCGGGGAGGGGGCTGGGGAGTGGCTGATGGGGCAGGGGCGGCTCTGGAGGGCATGGAGTCTCCAAGGGACCGAGGGCAGAGCCCAGGGATGCGCGCGGCACGCGGCCAGAGAGCCGCACTCAGGCAGAGGTGAGGTTGGCAGGAGTCGAGTGGGCGGGGCTGGGGGGGGCCAACAAGCCCCGCCCTCGCGCCTTGCTCTGGCCGCCCTCGCGCCTTGCTCTGGCCACCCCCGTCTGTTTCCTCTTCTGCGCACGCGCGCCCCTCAACCCCCTCCCCCCCCACCTCCGCCCTCGCCCCAGAAGGAATAGGCGGTGGGGGTGGGAGAGATACTCGACCCAGTTACCTCGGTAGCCTCCGCGGCTATGGCTCGGAGGAGGCAACGTCGCGAGACTTGGCCCAGGCCAATGTGAGGCGGGGGAGGACGTGGCGCTGCGGGCCCCGGGGCGGCGGCTCCGCCCCTCGGCCGGGCGAGCGCGCGCCGAAGCACGTGGGCGGCTTGGGCTCCGCCCCCGTTCCGGGCCGCCTATAAAAGACGCGACCGGGCGGGCGCGCTCTCATTCGGAGGCGGAGGCAGAGGCGGGCCGGGCCGTTGTGGGTGTGCGTGTGCGCCTGCGCGCTGCAGAGGGGGCGCGGTAGGGGCCAGAGCCGGGCCGCCGTCGCTGCCGCCGCCGTCGCTGCCGCCGCCGTCGCTCCCGCTCCCGCCCCGCCGCCCCGCCGCCCCGCCTCACGGGCCCGCTTCCCCGCGCAGCGGCGGCCGCCGGCCTCATCACCATGTTCAGCTGGGTGAACAAAGATGCGCGGCGCAAGAAGGAGCCCGAGCTCTTCCAGACGGTGGCTGAGGGGCTGCGGCAGCTGTACGCGCAGAAGCTGCTGCCGCTCGAGGAGCATTACCGCTTCCACGACTTCCACTCGCCGGCGCTCGAGGACGCCGACTTCGACAACAAGCCCATGGTGCTGCTCGTGGGCCAGTACAGCACGGGCAAGACCACCTTCATCCGGCACCTCATCGAGCAGGACTTCCCCGGCATGCGCATCGGGCCCGAGCCCACCACCGACTCCTTCATCGCCGTCATGCATGGCACGGCCGAGGGCGTGGTGCCGGGCAACGCGCTCGTCGTGGACCCGCGCCGGCCCTTCCGCAAGCTCAACGCCTTTGGCAATGCCTTTCTTAACCGGTGAGTGCGGCGGCGGGGGGGGGGGGGGGGCGGCGCGGGGCGCGCCCTGGACTGAGGATCTCCTCCGACCCCCCAAGAGTGAGAACTCCGTCCTTCTGCCCCATCTTTAGAGTGACCCCCCCCAGGGGAAGGACATGCCTGCTTCTGTGCCTTGGGCCGGGGATCCACACTGGACTGATGAACACCCCCCCATGTTCTTACCGCCCACCCTAGACTAAAGGGGACCCCCCCAGAGTGAGGTCCATCCCTTTGTTCCTAACCTTTGAACTGAGACCCTCCAGGGGAGAGGCACATGAGAGATCAGGGCTTGCACGTCCGGCACTCCGGGCCAGGGACACCCCCACCCCCGACGCTCTACCCGACCAAAGTGTGCTCCTTTTCTTGACTAGAAGGGACTTCCCCTAAGAGTGAGGACCACCCCCTTGTGCCCCACCTCTGGACTGAGGGTCACTCTGCCGTGCTGTAAGCCCCCCACCCCATCGTCCCCCACCCTGGACCAAGGTTCTTCCCCCCCTCCTATGCCCCACCCTGGGGTACACCCCAGGGGTACCAAGGGAACTCCTGCTTTGGATAGGCGCCTCCCAGAGAATGCTTCCCTTGTAGCTCCAAGGATATTGCTCCCCCCCCCCCTTCCCCTTCAGGCCACCCCCCCCCCCCCACCGTCACCCCTCTTACTCACCAAGGCCTCACTCTTGCTCCAGACATCCCCCTCCCTCTGCTTGGCTAATAGCTTTCCTGCACTCCTGAGGCCCCTGGAGCACCACCACACCCAGTGACACAACCTCTTCCCCCTCAGGGAACCCAGCCCTTCAGTCACCCTCTTCAACAGAGATCTCCCCCCTCACACCCCCAAAAAAGTAAAAAAAAAAAATTGGAACACTTGTGACCTTCATCTTATGCTCCCTGAGACTTCCTATTCCCATTCAAGTTGCCTTCATCTGGGGGGACTTGTCCCCTCTGTCCCTCTGGTGCTCCTATCTCCCTACCACACATCTCGGGTACCCCACCCACTGGGGCAACATTTTTCCCAGTCAGGGAAGACCCCTGAGGTATCCCAAGTGGGGCCCCCCCACACATCCCTGAGCCCCTCTTCCCACCCTGTCTGTCTTCCTCTGCTTGTGGACCCTTCCCCAGGCCTCACATCCTCATTCCATAGAGGAGACATCCCCCAATTAGTGAGCTCGTTCCCTTAGAATCTCAGGGACCCCCAGTTCCTTTGGGTGGTGAAAGCACATTAGGTGAAGCCGTGGGGTGAGTCCCTCACACAACCGGCACCTTAACTTAAAGCTTCTCCACGCAAGCAGACTCTTTCCAACTGGTCCAATGTTGGGATAGGAGTACCTGAGGGGTCTTCTGTGATTGAGAAAGATGTTGCCCCAGTGGGTGGGGTACCTGAGATGTGTGGTGGGGAGATGGGAGCATCCAGAGGGACCCCACCCTTCTCTTTCAAAGGTTGCTTCTTCCTCCCTGACTCCCTCTTCGGAGTGGCTCTTTCCCCATCCCTCCAGTCAGGCTTGATCAGGTTTAGAATGAGAAGGGACCCTGAATGCTCCGATCCCCCCTTTCGTTTTGCTCCCTGCTTCTGGCAGTCTGGGACATCCCCCCACCTTATCATAACCAATAATCATAGCTAATCTGCTTTACAATATTATCTCAAGTAATCCTTATGACACTTGAGAGGAGGATAGGTACTGTTATTATCCCTGCTTTATAGGTGAGGAAACTGAGGCAGGCAGATGGGGCAAGTCACCTTCCAGGGTCACACAGCTACTGAATGTGAGGGGCCAGACTGAACTTGGGTCTTTTGAGAGTTCTATCTCCTAAATGCCTGAAACCTTTCTGCCCCTCTTGACCCCAGTCTCACAAATCCCTTAAAGATTTCTCCTTTTGCCTCAGCCAGGGAAAGCCCCGGTGCCCTTCCAGCTGTTCGAATTCCTCCCTGCCCCCTCACCTCCTGCTTGTGCTCCATCCCTTGGGCTGACATCTCTCCATCCCTCTGGCTGACACCCTCTTCCCTTCCCCTTTCCCTTTCCCTTTCCCTAAAGGCATTGGATTTCCCTCCCCTTCCCCCCCCCTTCTTTCGCTCTGGTTGACCAAATGACCTTAGCCCTTCTGGTGCTCTGTAGGGCCCCTCAAGTCCCTCTCTCTCGAAGCTCCACTGTGTTCCAGTTTGCAGCCTTCCTCCTCTTTTTGGGGTTCAGGAGGCCAGGGAAACGTGCCCCTCTTAGACCTGGCTTACCCCATACACAGCCAATGATGTGAATTCTGTGCACAGCTTGGGAGGTGGGGCAGCGATTTTGGCACTTTTGACCTTTTACATAGACCTGCCTGCTCTAATTCAGATTGGGGGCTAGACGGAAGAGATGTGCCCAGCCCAAGCTGGTTAGGATCCTGTGGAGGGATCTCAAGAAAGGAAAGTTCTCATTCCCTCCGCCAGCAGAGCAGTCGGGCAGTGCAAGGTGGGGATGCCGCCTTCGCCCCCTTTCTGGGGAGGAGGGCCAGGGCCGTTAGGAGTGGGCACCTCGGTGGGCAGTGAGGCCAGGAGCCTTCCTGAGGAGCCAAGCAGCCCCGCTCCCCCCTCCCCCCCAGTCCTGCCTTTCTTTGTTCTGACATCTTGGTGGTTCCTTAGAACTCCATTGTCCTGGGACCGAATTGAGACTGCGTCTCCCTTCCTCCCAGGCAGGTGCTTAAGATTCCCTGTGGGGACAAAGATTACTTTGGATTAATTGGGGACCCCCCCATTTTCAGATGATTCCTCTGAAGGCTCCTGCAGATGTCACCCCACCTCTGGAGCCAGCTAGAGCACACTTGAGGAATAGACTTTGTTCTTCTCTTTTCCTTCCCTCCCTGTTAATGCACCTGTCATTCTTCTCCTTGGCCAAGGCTGTGGCTTGTTTGGATTTCATTCATTCTTTCCCCCTTGACCTCCTTTGTTGGCATATTTTTAAATGTGTCATTTAAAGAAAAGGCTGAGGCATTGAATGGTCAGCTACTTTGTCCACACACTGTGATTTTTTTCTGATGTAACATCTCAGCTCCCCTCAAAGGGGACTTTGTCTAAAGTCAAAATACAAGGGGAAGGACGAGCCCCCGTTGTAGCTGTAAGTGTCATGTGATGCCGATGACCCCCCCAGGAAAGAGTTGAGGTAGCTGAAGATTCCCTTATTCCTTTCTAGCAAAGCTGATCGTTTGTGTCAGGAAACATTCCAGTTTGACTTATCTGGACCCATTTTGCAAACCCTGACCACTAGCTCCCTCCTGGTTGGGGGCGGGGGGCCGGGGAGGGGGTGGTTTACTGAGTCAGTGAAGAGCTGAGGAAGGAAGAAGACTTTTGACCCCGAGTCCCTGCCCACTGAGATCACATTCCTTTACCAGAAACCGGCTCCATGGAGAGGACAGCTGTCCTGGAGGCCTGTGGGCCAAGTAGGCCCCGAGCCCAAAGCAGATTCGGGAGGGAGGGCTGCCCCTCAGAAAGTTCTAGCTTTGAGGGCCACTCCCTGGTGGGCTACAGGAGTGGACCTCTGTGCCTGGTGCCCCCCGGTGGGGCCTTTTGGCCCGTGGGTGTAGAGCTCATGTGACTCAGAAAGGCAGAGGGTTATTAGAGGGATCCCAGGGAATGATAGGAATCCTTGCTGCACTCGTAGGGGCCCAGCCTTGATCTCCTTGGACTGAGACTCTTGTCAAAGGCAGATCTCAGAACCTGTCTGTGGCAGCCTCTGGGCCTTCCCCTCTTCAGCCCTTGGTGGTTTCTTTTGTGAATGCGGGTGTGCAGTGAGGCAGTGACAGTGAGCTGGGAGTCTGGAGGCTCAGGTCGGAGGCCTGGTTCTGACCGTGGCTGACAAGGGCGGTTTGCCCCAAAGGCAGCCTCAGGTTCCTGCTCTCTAAAGGGGAAAGTGAGATTTGACCTCCCCGCTTTGGAGGTGTCGAGGAGGCGAGTTAGGCACTGCTAAGTAAGGGCCGGGGAGATGAGTGGGGAGACTGGCAGGTGCCAGGAGGGCGTGGGCACGCCGGGTCTCTGGGCCTCCAGGGGTCTTCTCAGCACGCTTTTGTTTAGGACTGGCTGTCACTCCCACCTGCTCTTTATCACTGCCCCTTGTCTTGTCCTTCAGAGCTGGGCCCACGGCTTGCTTGTGACTGCAGGCAAGGCCTCACCTGGTGCTCACGCTCACTGAGGTTAGGGTTGGTTCCTCACTCTGGGGTGTCCTGTGTGCCCACCCTCTCTAGGAAGGATATAACAAGGTGTTAATCTTCTGCACTTGAAGCATCTGAAGGGTCAGATTGACTTCCAGGAACTCCCAGCCTCTCTGAAGAGAGCAGATGAAACGCTTGGGCTGTGTTGTGATTCTGTTGTAAAAAATCCTGATTGTGTAACCAGCTAACACCCACTTCTGTGTAACCAGCTAACACCCACTTCGTAGTAAGGATGCCGTGGGTGAGCCAGAGGCTCTGAGACTGCTCCGTTTCCTGGCAGACGGCACAGGCCCTCTGTGCCACTCATTTCTAAGTCACTGAGTTAACTTTTTGGTAGCAGCTGAATCTTTGATCTGGCGACAGGTGGGATAAGGACTAGAAGAGACGTGGTTCTCCTCCATGGCCTCTCCTCGAGGCTCCATTTTCCTCCCCATACCAGGCAGGCTTGGTATGTGGGTTGTTGTGCAATAAGCCGTGACTGGTTCGTGAGCAGTGCCCACAAGGCAGAGGTCCACGGTGTTTTTATTTCTGCTCTGTTTGTGGTCACGGTGGGCACCCTGGCCATGCCTCGGAGGGTCTCAGAAGACAGGGAGAACATGGAATCCTAGAACAGTAGAACTGGGGTGAATTCCCTAGTCCAGAAAAGGAAGTGAGGTCCCAGGAGGTCAAAGGGACTCGTCTGATAAGGCCGCACAACTTTAAGCGGTGTGTTTGGCCCTGGAGTGCAGGGCGCCAGATTCCCAGGTCTGCATTGTTTCTGCTGCACCAACGATAGCCGCCCGCATCTGCTGGGATCATTTCAGTCAGTCAGCATCCGTCACCATTAGTGGTTACTTGGACAGAAGTTAGGCTTTTGTAAAGAGCTCTCTTTTCTACAGACCAGGGAACCTGATGCCTGGCCCAGTCTCAGGGCTAAAAGGGCTCATTGATAATTTTGTTCCTTTAGACTCGGCCGCCTTTCTCTCTTGAGCTTGTCAAAATCGGTCCCCTTTGCCTCGGCAGCTCTGGCCGAGGCAGGGATGGGCCTGGCCCTGGGAGCCCAGAAGGGTTTGGGGGAAGGTCCATGGCACAGGAGAAAGTTCGGTTGGCTGGGTCAGTGGGAAACTCCAAGGTCCACAGTGGCCCTTCTGAATTGAATGGTGACTTATTAGCTGGTGTCCTTTTCTCTCCCAAGTCAGCAGCTTGGAGATTGAACTCTAGACCTGGCCTAGCTAACATGCCGGCTGAGGCTGTGTGTTTTAGCTAAGTGCTGGCTCAGCAGACAGTGTGCTTCTCTGGCAGCCCTGACGCTGCTGGCTTCACTTTCGTGAATCACCATTGCCCGGCAGTTTGCTGGCTTCTGGGAACTCATGTTCCTCCTTCCGTGTCCAGGTGTCAGGAGGCAGTGTGATAGGAAGGATGGTGTCCGTGCCAGCTTGTGCGTCATTAGTGAGCTGCTCTCGATATCTCGGCTTCTTGTCTCTGTCCTGTGCAGGTTCATGTGTGCCCAGCTGCCCAACCCCGTCCTGGAGAGCATCAGCATTATTGACACCCCAGGAATCCTCTCTGGAGAAAAACAGCGCATCAGCAGAGGTAAGACATAACCCGGTGGGGCATGTGAATCCCCTCTAGGGTGGGCTTTCATCTATCCAGTCATACGGATTTTTTCTGATTGATTAACCATCTAAGCCTGTCTGTTTTCCTCACAAAATACCATGAAGTCAACTAGAGGAATATTACCTTCTGTGCCCCCCTGTGCAAAGTGAAGACTCCAGCCAAGGCTGAGTCCCTGTTCAGCATCCTGACTTTTACGGGGTGGCCTCAAGATATTTGGGCAGGGCCAGGATAGACAGTAGTAACCACTGCCCAGGTTCTGGGGCCTTAGCGGCGGGGGGGAGAGGGGAGACCTGAGAGGAGCTCATGTAGTGGTGGGGCGTGTAAGGAGGCATTCGCCAAAGCCGGGCATGGGGGTGGGGGCCTCCTGGTGAGGCCACGAGTTTGCTTTGCTCTGGCCTCGGGCCTCGTTGGACTCCCAAAGGACAGAGACTCACGGCATAGCCCGAGAACTTGCTGTAATTCATCTGCGTTACTATTTTCTCACTCCTGGTCATTAATGTTAATTAATGAATTTATTTTAATTTCTTCCGAAGCCAAACGGATAAGTTTGCAGAAATGTGCTTCAGTGTGGCAGGCCAGCGTTGAGCCAGATATTCTGTATTTGGCTCATTTGGTGTGAATATGTTGATTAATAATATTATCTTTGGTTTAGATTTCGTGTTTAAGGTTTTGCAAAGCACTTATTAGACATTGTAATTTGCTTTACCAGTATCATTGTCCTCATCTGCAGAATGGGGAAGGTGGCTGCCAGGTCCAGTGACTTGCCTGGGGCACTGTCTGATACAAGACCAAGCTGGGCTCCCTCCGCAGCTGGGCACCCCTCCCAAGTGCTGCCTTAGCTCTTTATCCAGGCAGAAGGAAAGAGGGACGGAGGCTTGAAAACCTACAGTTAGGTGAGGGAAGGTGAGCTCAGGGCTCTGGATTTCAAGTCCAGTGCCCTCCCTGTTTAGCTTCAAGCACAGATCCTTGAAGAGATCCAGGGTTTCCGAGGTCCTGTGATTCCAGCAGCTTTTGAGAGGGAGGACTCAACTCCCTTGGCCTAAGGTGGCCGGGCATTTCTGTGCTTGGTGGTAGCTTGGCTGTGCCTGCCCCAGGATGGCGAGCGCTTGCTCCTGGGATGGATGGGTCGGGGCTGAGCCCAGTTGGGATGAGGCTCCTTCTGGTAGTTTCCATAATCCTGGCCTTCTCGAGCTTCACTTGGGCGCAGAGCGGTCCATTGGGTGCTGGCTTCAGTGCTTGCCGGCCCACGCCTGGCTCCCCAGGCTTACCTGTGTGTAGATCTCAGGGCCTGGGTCAAACCATTCTGGCCCCCCGGGGGGTGGTTGTCAGGGCAGGATGTCGAACCCTTTGAGTCCTTTCTCGATGCCAAGTTCAGAGCCGGAGCCAGAGAAGGACTGGCTTGGGGCCTGAGAAGCAGAGGAGACCCGGCATTCCACACACGACTGAGTCAATGGGAGATGACAGGCGGCCCAAAGGTTCATGGCTGTTATTATCTCATTAACCTGGCACATCTTTGGTGCAGAGGGCCTGCTGGTGTCCTCCAGGGCTCCTGTTAGGAGCAGGATGTCAGAGTTTGGTCTTCTGCAATGCCTTGGCTTTCATGGGACTGGAGGCTGGAACCTAGATCCCTCCCTCTTCTACAGAGAACACCGAGGGAAGGATTTGTGTGAGGTCACACATCTAGAATTAACAAGTGGGACTGGAAACCAGGCCTTGACTGTTAGTGTGCACGTCTACACTCCCCACTCCCCACCATCTGTCCAGCAGCTGGAGAGGACAGAGACTGCGGGGGCCGGTGGCCACTGGGCAGCATCCCTGTGAGCTTGTTCTGGGTTCTCTGCTGACGTCGAGGTCCTGTGAGAAGGAATGTGCCAACAGCCCTTTTCCTGCTCTCAGGGTAGTACGAGAGCTGTGTGGCGTGCCGTGGGGGTTCAGAGGTCGTGTCTAGTGCTGGCAGGTTCTGGCATACTTAAGTGAGGGGCCACCCCACCCATGCGAGCGAGCGTGCCTGCCCTGCCCATCTCCTCTGGTGTCCCTTTGTATGGCCCCTGCAGGGCAGCGCCTTCCCAGCCTGGGGATGCAGCGGGGCCTTTGGAAAGCGGCACGTCAACCTTGAAACTGTGCTGCTCATCTGGGTGAAAATGCCTGTGTGCTCTGTGGGCAAAGAATGTGCCAAGTAAAACAGAGGCTGGGCCCAGTGCTTGGGCTGCTTGGCGGGAGAGACGGGGCACAAGTGGACAGAAGCGAATTTCCCCGTACTCCCCTTGACCAGAAAATCCTGCCCTGCAGCAGATGGTCCCACACCATTCGTTCCCCTCCCCCTCCTCTGTCTCTTCTTCCTCTCTAGCTGCAAACCCTGATGGCCTTCAGGACCTCAGCGGCAGCCCCTTGAAGCTGACCAGGCTGGCTGGGTCTGCAGCGTCCAGCCCTGTGCAGATTTTGTTGTTTCTTCTTATGCTTAGGACTGAATGCCAGCCCCCTACTAGATTTTAACAGATATTGAGTGCCTCCTTTAAAATGCCAGCTGTGTTACTACCCAGTCAGTGACCCCTTCTTAACACAGATTACAGAAGGGAAGGTGCATCTTGAGGGGTCATCCCATGTGCGGGGTGGCTCTTCATGCCTAGAATCTCCCATCTCTGCAAAGGAGGCAGGGAGGGGCACTGGGCCCTGTGATTACAGCGCTTGGTGCTTTTGTCTTCGCAAATATAAGATGCACAATTGGGTTTAAGCATTCACTGCAAATTCGTTGATATTAATGCTTGATCAAAGTGGGGACAAAGGCCCACAGGCTTAGTAGCTACTAGTTTAGAGGGAGGGACTGGCAAAGATTGGGGACAGTTCCCCGATGGCTCAACATTAGGAAAAATAATGGATATAGTTAAGTTATATTAAAATAAAACTGGCCCAAGCCATGGTTATCAGTCCATGGCAGAGAAAGCTTATATAGAGCAGCGCTTCTCAAACGGTGGGCCATGGGCCGGGCAGCTTCGGGGTGGCCTTGGTTCTGAAAACAAAGCCTGTGCACTTTGCACTGCGCACTGTGTACGCCCTCACGCCATGCAACAGCTAACGCTGCGGAAAGGGGTCCAGAAGGGGTCATGAGTGGAAAAGATTTAAGAAGCCACGGTATAGAGTATAACAGTGATGCTAAAAAAAAATCCTCTGGTGCATAGGCGTGGGAAGGCTATTTCTATTACGGTAAAAAGAGTATCAAAGAGTAAATGCTGGTATTATTCACAATGGAAAAACACTAGAAACCTTCCCAGTAAATGCAGGAATAAAGCAAGAATGCTTCCTTTCCCTGCCATTACTTACCTAGTTCTAGAAATGCTGGCATTAGCAATGGCATGGGCAGAAAGGAAACCAGACTTCTTTATTTGTTGCCAGTGTGCTAGGCTTACTTAGAAAATGGCAGAGAATCCACAAAGAAACCAAGGCCGGCCTTTCCCCCTAAGGAGCAGGATACAATATAAACCCATGCAGATAGTGCCCTGACGAAGTGTCAGGCAGAGGGACCCTTCCTGTCACTCAGAATCCTTTGTTGCACTCCCCAATCCCCTAACAGGAAACAAGAACTAGATAAGTTTCCAAATCTGCCACCGGGCCCTCCTCTTCTCCTCCCTTCCCTGACTAATCTCCCCATTGCTGCTGGTATTTGCACTTAGCCAAACAGCACCTCCCTGGGAGGGGAGAAGCAGGTGTTTCCCTCCCGGGGATCTGTCCAATGAGAACATGGCATGTGGCTTAACTATGTCTGGTATTTCTACCTAGTTCCCTGGGAACAACATCTCCGGTCTGGCCCGCAGAGCCCTGGCTACATTGGGAGGTGGGGGGTGGACGCCGGCTCCACTAATCAGCCAGCCTTCCCCCCACCCCTCGATCTGTGGCTCCATGTAGCCAGTGATGTGGGCAGGAAGTCCTGCTCCACCAGATAAGGTGGAGGCCACCCCCAGCCCGGAGCAACCAGGATGCAGTGCATACAAAGCCTTAGTGGTGGAAGGTGTGTGAGTGGCTTGGGCCTGGGGAATCTCCAGCTTCTCATTGGATGCCATGCTCATGGGATCATTATTCTGAAAGTGTGACGATGGTGATTCCCCACCTCTGGGGCCTCTGGTTCCCTGAGCTGCCTTGCCTGGTAGCTGGAATCCAGGGAATTTGAACCAGACACCTCCTCTGTAGGGATGGGTGATGGCAGAGGAGGCAAGAATAGGGGACCTGGCTTCTTTTGAGGCGTTAACTCCTGTTATTAAAAAAGTAGGTAGGAAAGAAAGCATGCTGCAGTTCACAAGGCCTGGCCCTGTGGCGATGATGAGCTCTGTGACCTTCCCCTTTTTGGGATTGGGTTAAATGATTCTTGGGAGCCTTTCCCGTGCTAACAATGATCACCTCAGGTTTTCCCATCTGTTCAGTGGGTTGAGCACTGCCACACTTGAGTGTGTTGCAAAGTCAAGAGCTTTCTCCAAGTATCTGAAGGGTGGATGAGGAATCCGCCCTGCCCTGAGCCCAAAGGACAACCAGGAGCGATGAGGGCAGGTGCAGAGAAGCTGGCTCGGGCCTGTTGTCAGCCTCGAAGTATCCAGAAGTAGAACGGGTTGCTCGGTAGCAGGTGGCCCTGTGGGACCCAGTTGAGAAGGATCCCAAGGAATTGGTCCAGCTACTGGGGGGAGGGAGGATGCGGTGAGCCTGGGACTGTCTGGTTCCGTTCCCACCTAGCTTGAACAAGATTGAAGGAAGATGTTTAGAATCGGGACATTGCGTCCTTGGGTGGGTGGGCTAGGGAAGTGTCATTTCAGGTGGTGTAGACCACTCATGGAACTCCTCCGCTGGAAGGAGTCAGGGTGGGACTTGGAAGCTTGTGTCCGTGCCTTTACAATGGAGGTGTGGGCGGCTTCTTCCGGGCACCCGTTTGCTGGGGCTTTGTCGAGAAATGTCCCTTCATCTTGTCCTTTCCAGTCCCAAGATGAGAGCCTACA